TTCAGCAGGTTTGATGCGTATGGAGCTGCTTGGAAGGCAGCAGATACTGTTTTCGAAAGAGTAGCAATAGGTTTTCAGGCAGCTTTGCAGTTTGATCTAAAACAAATTGCTGATAGTAAAGGAAGAATCCAGCTCAACTGTTACTCCAAAGTGACTTTTGAGATCTATTTAGGAACTAGTACTTGCAGCCTAGAAGAGCCTGAAACACAACTGTGAAGGAAGAATGAACAAGTGATTCCCGAGAATATTTTTTCTCTTTTTATTTCAGTGATTTATGCCATCTCTCACTAGAGAATGCTGTAGGAAGATCAAATTTCCATTTTTATTCCTCTGACTTCAGTCCTGTGGTGTCAAGGCCCTCACAATATTCTTTGTAGAGCCTTGTCAGGGAATTTGGGCAAGGCAGAAGTACCCTTCAGCAAATTTGATCATCTGTGGTGGGCGGGGGAAAGGCCAGCTGTAAGAGAATGTGTTCATATCCATCTGTTGCTGTTCTTTGGTACAGACACGACTCCACCACTGCATCCCTTGTTGATAGTGGAAGCAGCCACAGGCAGGGGATGACATCTTCTGAAATGCATTGCAGCTGCGTGAGGTCCAGGCTGAGTGTGCGGCCTAGCTCTCCCCTGGGAAACGAGGTGAAGCAGTGCCAGCAGTCTGGGAAGCAGCCGAAGGAGTCACTGCGGGGAGAGGCACATATTTGTATGGAAACCCTCTGTGGTGCTGGTTATTAACCCAGTTTGGTTGTGGATGTGATAGAATCAAGATTGATTTTCACTGGCAGATGGCATATTTTTAGATAGTTTTTTTTTTTTCTCTGTGTGGCTTTTCTTAAGCTGTCTGAAATAAAAACAGAAAGCAAACATGATGGTAAAGTATTGTGTTAGCAAAGGGAGGGAATACCTATATATATATGTATGTATGTATATTTTAAGCAGCTAATTCCAACAGATTAGGAATTGACATCTGCCATCTAGTGGCAAATAGATATTTCTTAAATTTGAAGCCGGTATGTGACTTCTTAAGGCTGCATTAGTGTATGCATAAGTGTATGCACATGCATTTTTCCATGAAATGCAGGTGAAATTTATTTTTTTCTATTAATCCATCAAACTTACGGATTGAGAGTTTTTATTAGATTATGACTATCAGCCCAGCTATGAACTCAAATTCATATACATGTCTTGATGAAGTTCATGGTGGTTTTCCTGTGGGCTGTGACTGCACAAATATTTTTCTGCAGTTGCCTATCTCTAACTATGAGAAAATGCAGCCAGACAAAGGAGATCAGTTTTACTTTTCTACTTATTAACGACAAGTGGTTTTAGTGAGCTGAGCAACAGCCACTTTGTGAAGAATCATTGGCCACTACTGTATGGACAGGGCACTAAGGAACAGTTGTTTGGGCTTGGGGATTTACCTGTCACTACTTCTTTCCCAGTTTGATCGTCTTCAAGCCTGCCTGCAGCAGTGGCTCTTTCCTGTTGTTTAGGACCAACCGTCTGTGTTTAATTGCTGTTGATGTGGGCTCTGCTCCATTTTGACCTTCAAAGATCTTATTTTGATATCTGCTGCTACCATCTAGTCAGAAATATTTAAGATTTATAAGCAGCACTAAGTCATGTCTTAATGAAGTTTACAAGCTGTGTCTCACACTAATTGTGCTTAAACTGCTTCTGCTCCTGACAGCTTTCATTTTATGTGGACCCAATTACCAGTTTATATTTTTGCTAAGACGTTTCTTAGCGTTCCCTTGCAACTATCTGCAGTGAACTTTCTGCTATGAAATGTGAATATATTATAAAGCAATGTAGTGAAATCAAAGTCTGGGCAGTCCCAAAAAAATATTAAAACTACTACACTTGTGCATTGCCAGGCCAGTCTCCAATGGAAGCGATGTTATAAAAAGCTAGGTGGTGAAGTTTCCCCATTGAATACTGCTTTGGGAAAGGCTTCTGATGCAGCTTTCTTCTGCGTGTCTGCTTCAAAATGCTTGTGCCTGCCTTTCGCTTTTGTGCATTGCCTTCTAGAATTGCTTAGTAAAGTTTCCAATTTCTGTGCTAGGTTTGTTTAGAATTTAAGAGTTTGCTCCTCTAAAAAGTGACTCAAGTCATTGAAAGGATTTATGTTTGCACAGAGAGAAAAAAAAAAAAGGCAAGCACTCTTTACTGTCAGAATTTGTTCTAACAAACAAGCATGGCTGTTCTAACAAGCAAGACGAATGACAGGCATCAAGTTGTTGTTGTGGAGAACTGCTTAAATGAACCTTTATCGACTTCCTCTTTAACTCCAAACCAGCTAATTTATATCTGATTTTATTAACTGGATTATGTGATACCATGTTAATAAACTCAGGATACTCTTAATCCCTTTGTTTTTCACTAATACCATCTTCACTTAAGCTTGTAAATAGAAAATATTCATTGTATAAGTCAACATATAATTTCTCATTAATTATATCAGTTACAGCAAAACACATTTTCTTTCTAGTCAAAATGCATTCCAATCCTAAGAAGCCAACATGTCACAAAGTTTATTACTCTGCTACCTAATCATCAAGAAAAAAATATCATTCATGTCAAAGGAAAATCATCCAAATATCGCTCTAGCCAACATCCACCATTCTAATTCTAGTTCAGTAGGCGTTTGCTTTGCACAGCTGTATTCCTATTTTACTGTTTTACTGATTTGATCCAAACTGCTGTGTCTGTGAGAGCATCCTTGCCAGCTGCAGATGGAGGCCATCAGAGCTATAGTGTCTAGTTGGGCATCTTGATAGGGCTGAGGAGTCCAGAAGCAGCCCAGACAGGTAGCTCCCGCTTTGTACCCTTGTTAATGTGAGAGATGCACAATTTGATGAGAACTTTTTTTAATAGGCTTCCTTCCTCAAATAGGCATCCCTTCAATTTTGTCTGCCCATAAACAGCTTGTTGAGGAGAACGTCTTGTTGCCGCTTCAGCCACTCTCATCACTTGTCCCACTAATTTCTCATGAGTTCCTATTAATGACCCATAGGAAAGCACTGAGTGCTGTGGAAGTTCATCTGTGGAAGAGAGTTCCCTGTAATGACCAGCGGAATGTCTGGCTTGACGTGGTCCTCTGCCGTACTCAGTGGTATGTCTAGCATCTTGAGAGAGCACAGAGAATTTTAAAAATGGAGCAGTCTGAGATCTCTGAGGCTTGAGACAAAAATGCGACTTATTAATATTGAGATAACAGCTGGAGATGAGAACCTAGACAGTAACAGTAATCTGGTCGAAGAGGGTTGGTCAGAGAGCTCGTTTTTGAACATGAAGAGGATCTGGCTGTTCTTGGCTCCAACTGCTTCATTTCACATCAGCTTTCACCTATTCCAACATGGAAAGTGCCATGAATTAGCTTTACTCCCACTGTTTGTCTCAGGGCAGCTCTGTTCTT